TTATAGGCCAAATTGGATAAAAACGAGGTCTATTCTATAACATTTGGAAGTTAATGTCTAAACGGCTAAAACCCAGGTAACAAGATTGTGGAAGACATTACTCTGCCTTAATACTACTTGTCACGATCTGTGATTAGGAGTTGTGAAGAGGAAAAAACAAAAATGGCTCCTTACATGTGAGGATATATAGGTCTAAATAGTCTGAGCACTAAAGTCATTTAAGTTTGTAAAAAGTGAGTATCTTTTATCTTCGTTAAATATTTAACACATTCTGGTAGTTGGATTTTTAAAAAAAATGTGGGGAAAAAAAAAATTAAACAAGAACTCATATTTGGAGGTGCGAATTTGTAGTTTCTGCTATTTTTAGTCTGTTTCTGGTATCGGTTGCATTTTTGGGATTTGACATGAGTTTTCTGGTGTTTCTGGTTGAATATATATATTGATATTTTACATCTAATCTAACAATAAAGTTCACTAAATGTTTGAGGGAGACTAATAGTGCTCCTTTTTGACAAATTTAAAGGAAAAATTGCTCAGGAGAATATTTAAAAGATTATTTTAAATCTACCTCAAATGTTATTAGGGACCATTTTTGTTATTTTCTTGAGTTATGACCAACACCCAATGGACTTGCGATATGACGAAGTATTTTTGAATCATAAGGCACTTATCAAATGACTAAACTCGTTAATTTATATCATGCCACTCATCAAAGCAAACAGAATAATGTTTTGGTTGTTGAATTTAAGTATTTTAAGGTATTTTCTTATAATTTTGTGTACCTTGATGTTAGTGAGAAGAGGGATGTGCATAATTTGGTAAATACCGAATTACCGTATCGAAATCGAAAATTTTGATATTTGGTATTCGGTATGATATTTGGTTTAAATTTTAAAAAAATAGGTATTAGATATGGTATTTGGTATTTTAAAATGAAATACCGAAATATCAATATCATACCGAAATATATATTATATTACACAATACACATATTATTAATTATAACAAAAATATAAAAATCCAAAATTTTAGTTTCCTTTATTCTCTATGTTCATCAATTAACTCTAAGCAAGTAACAAGATATTTCTAATGATCAAATTTATTCTTTAATGTATACTTTTCTCACTCTGGGTTGATATTTGTTAGTTTTGGACAACTTTTGTCAACAAATATTTTTAGTTTTGTACTTTTGAGTACTTTAATTTAGAATATTACGGTCTATAACTCTATGCACTAGTTAGTATTCAAACCAAATAAACCGAAGTTACCAAACCGAATAAATCGAAACCGAAGGGAGAAAAATCGAACCATACCGAATTTAATTAGGTACGGTATTAGTATTGTATTTTAAGTAACTGAATATCAAAAATACTGAACCGAAATGTCTAATTATCGTACCGTATCGACCGACGAACACCCATGGTAAGAAGATTGACAATTATCAAGCAAAACTTACAAAAACCATGCATCAGAAAGTGTGTGTGTATATATATATATATATATATATATATATGTGTGTGTGTGAGAGAGAAAATATGTGTCATATATTTTACTGGATGGTTATAAATATTGAGTACAGACAAATTTCTGTGGAGTGATATTCTTAAGATTTACGTTACATACGATATGACGAAGTATTTTGGATGTACCAGAGGTAATCAAAAATTTTAATACTCAAACAAATTACCATACAATTTTTTTAAATAAAAATCTTTTCTTTTTTTAATAGATATTTTTAGAATAACCAAGTTCTTTCTTTATAGTCAAAAGCTCAAGATATGACAAACAATTAGGATCTATATAATTTATGGAGTTTTCCTTTAGCCTTCTTCCTGCATAATTTAAGATATGATGTAATGCAAAAATACCTCCGTAATAAATTTTCAAATGTGAAATTACCAACTATAATTTTTGTTCAATAAAGATATTTTCAAAATAAGTAAAGTTTAATAATTGCCTTAGTATAATAATTTTAATATACAAAGAAAATACATAAATAAATTAATACTCACATCAACAATTCTTTCATTAATATATATGTTAGAGAATTGACAATTTTAGTGTATCTTTTTCCCTTTAAATTGAAATGTTAAATCATCCATGGTGAATGTGCGTTCACCATATTTCTTGAATTTTGTATGCAACATTTATTTCTTTATTGCAAAATATTTAACAATGACCTCAATATAATAGAAAATATCTTAAATTTTACAAGCAAGAAAGACAAATTCAAGTATTGGTTTGGATGAGAAAAACTATACTTCACCTTTAAAAGGATAGAGAGAGAAAAAAAATTATTTTAAAAAAGAAACTCTCACTAAAAAAATATTGCATAAGGGAGTTCCGTTCACATTCAAAATGTGAGGGGTATTATTTCCCGCCCCTTGAAGGGCAAGGGAGTAAAGTGAATTTTACTATGTATAACCAAGAGACTTGTTAAGAACAACTGGCTTTGTTCACACTCAACTAACTCTAATTCCACAATGAATTACTGTTTCTCTCGTGTTTCGCATAATATATGTGATGCTATTACTATTTGTTGATTCAAAAATAATTCTTCCCCTAATTATGAGTTTTAAAAGGACCTTATTAATGTAATTTCAGTTATAATTTTCTTTATTTATAGCACTCTATGAAATTTTCAGAATAAGTAAAGACTCGATGCTTGATTTATAATAGAGAAAAATGTAGAATTGGCCGGTCAAGTCGAAACTAATTGCATTCGCTAGCCAAAGTGCATAAAATATACATATTATATGTATATAATACATATACAAAAAGATATATATTTATCTATTATTATTTTTAAGAGCGACTAAAAAAATATACATCTCTTGTTACAGTATACTATATATACAGTTCCATCATCCATATTCATATAGAAAATGGGATAATCTTTCTCTAAAGGTCAAAATTGGTGATATGATCTTTGTTTCATTCGCACAAGCGTTTCACCTTCCCTTTCACCTCATGACAAGAGGACGAACAATGGTATAATTCCAAAAGAAGAATAATGACACTTGATTATTAGAAAATGAATTTTGTTTTAAGAAAACAAAGATCGACATCGGCTTTCTAGCTAGAGACAAATGAATAAGTTAAACAAAGAACTCTATTTTTCCAAAAAAGAAACAATATAATAAGAATGTACAAAGGATATTGTAAATTATTCTATTTGGCTGAAGTGCCTACTTAATTATGAAACGTCTCAAGAATAATGTAAGTTGGTCTCCCTTTGATGGGGTAGACACAGTAAAATGGGATTGGGTGTAAAGGTGGATAATTTTTATTAGTATTTTTTTCCATAGTGATGATGGAAGCCATTTTCCATATTCAAAATTCAAGATTTTGTGACTTTTCCATATGTGACAAGTGACAAACTAATTTTTAGAAAGGGAATCACAATTGAAAAGGAAAGGGTCAATAACAGTATTCTTTTTTTAATCTGTTTTAATAGATTGATACCTTTTATAGTTAAAGGATATTTTAGCTACCTTAACAAATATCAGGGTATAGCTACCTTTAGTGAAATGGTTAATTGAATCCCATTGCCAAATAATTATACTGTAAAAGTAATTTGTTTGTATATATATAAAATGTTGGATCTCTTTTACTTAGGTTCATAGATATTTTCATATTTTCTTTGATCCCATTACTCAAATTTCTAGTTTCACGAATATATCCAGTAGAATAGTTAAGGTGTGCTAACTTTGCTCAGACACTGTCGTCACAAAGAAAAAATCATAACATATTTAAAGATACAAGTTTCAAAAATACTTGTGATACAATAATAACAACAAATCCAGTATAATTTCACACAGTAAGATCTGAAAAGAATAGTGTGTACGCAGATTTTATCCCTATCATGTGAAGATAGAGAGATTGTTTTCGAAAGACCCCCAACTCAACAAGCAGGAACAACAAGCAGTAATGACAACAAAATTAGAAACAACAAGACTAATACGAAAATACGATGCTAAGCAATAACAAGATAAGAAACAACAAGAAGATTTAAATGATAGAATATCCAAAACCAATGAAATAATATGTAGTAGAAGAAACATGCGGATAAGAAGATACGAAAATGCGAAACTAAAACTAATGATACCGGCATGAAAATGAGACATGCTTGCCTCCGGACTAACCTTATACCCTAATTTTCAGCCTCCATATCCTCCTATCATGGGTCATGTCCTCAGTAAGCTTAAGCTGCGCCATGTCCTGTCTAATAACCTCTTCTCAATACTTCTTAGGCCTACCTCTACCTCTCATCGGCCCCACTACGGCCAACCTTTCACACCTCCTCGTCGGGGCATCTATGCACCTCCTCTTCACATGCTCATACTATCTCACTCTCACTTCCCGCATCTTGTTCTCCACGGAGGGCCACTCCCACTTTATCCCTAATATATTCATTCCTAATATTATCTATCCTGTTATGCCCATACATCCAAAAATACTTTTGAAATTCACTTAAAATCTTTTTTCTAGAACCATATCTAATCAAACATCTATAAAAGATTTCCCAAGAACAACATAAGAGCTCCCTGCGATAAAATATAATACACAGTAAAATGGGATTAGTGCAAAAGGTCATTTAATTTTTCCTTTTTTTCTTCGTCATGATGGAAGTCATCTTCGATATATAATATGCACTATAAATTCAAGATTTTGTGACTTTTTCCTATGGGACAATTGACAACTAATCTACTCAAATGGGAAGCAAAATTGAAAAGGAAAGGGACAATAGTACTCCTAATATTGTTTCATTTTGTAGGGCCTCTATTATTTTTTATTCATAATGATATGCTTTTAATTATAATTAGCTAGATTAATGCCATGATAAGTTTAAATCACAAATATAATATCAATCAATGCAAAAGTTAAAGTCTAAGCAAGTATTTAATATTTATAGAAAAAATTGATTGTTAATTTTTAAAAGATGGCGTACTTTTTTATTATTTAAAACTATCGAAATTTCCAAAAGAAGAAGAGGAATCGCCTGGTAAGCATCATGTTTATTTATAATACCAGCACTCAAAGTGAAAAATTAAATAAAAAAGGCAAATTTGTATGCACAAACAAGTCGAATCATTATATCTGAGATTGTATCCATCAAAAGTTCTTAAAACTAAACTCCCAATTCCTCAAAAAACCAAGAATTCAAAAACAAAACAAAATTAAAAAAAAAAGCAAGTTTTACAAACTCGTAGATCGTGAGATTCTGATTGTCTTCCTTCCACTGTTTTTTTAATGGACGGAATTTTTTGAATCATCTTTTTCAATCAGATAGCGAGTAATAACTCATCAATAAACGTAACTAAAGCGACGGGGAGATAAATTTTATTCTCTTTCAAGAAAACTGAACTCAGTCCCTTCGACACGAATGTTGTGATGAAGTCATTAAAAGCTCTTCTAATAACTCAGCACCCAAGTCCTCAAAAACAATAACATTATGAGTTTCTTTATTCTTTTTCTTTCTACTACTTCTTTTATGCTTCACTCTCCTTGTTTTATGAGTAGCTTTTAGAACAGCAGCAGGAGACAATCCATCTTTACAAGAATACTCAATTTTTTCAAGTGATTTCTTGACTTTCTCCAATGGAAAATTAAGAAGAGACCAAGGACCTCTCATCGATAATGCAGCTTGATCATAAGCTAAAGCAGCTTCTTCAGCTGTATCAAATGTCCCTAACCAAACCCTAATTCCATTTCTTGTTGAATCTCTTATTTCTGCTGCATATTTACCCCATGGCCTTTTTCTAACTCCTATATAGTGTTTTTCTTCTTCTTCTTTTTCTTTTTCTTCTTGGGATGTTACCTCTTCTAATTCTTGACCATGGCTACTTCCTTTTGACATGATTGTATTGTCTGAGGATTCTTCAAATACTTGATGATTTTCATCTTTCTCTGAGTTACATGGTATAATTGGTGATTGATCATCATCAAACCATGGATCATTGAAGAAAAGATCATCATCCCATTGTAAAATTGGTGATTGATCTTGGAGAAAGAAGAAGTTGGAATGTGAAAATGAAGTGTCTATTTCTAGTGGGCTTGAGTTACTTGACATCTTTTGGTGTTTTTGGTTGTCAAAGGGAGAGTTTCAAAATTCATGAATTGCTACTGAGACTTTTATATGGAATATATAAGAGAGTATTGAGAAAAAGAAGAGTAATCCTTCTTTTTATTTTNATATATATATATATAGTGGCGAATCTAGGATTTTAAAGTTATGAGTGATCGCCGATAAAAACTCCAAAAAAAAAAAATGAATTATGGGTACTCACTCAATATTTATTTAAATATTTTTATAATTGTCTAGGTAAATTTACTAAATCTGGTCAAAGTTAATGGATGCTTAAGCCTGCACCCACAAGCGCCCATGTAGATCTGCCACCGCATATATCAATAAATTCCGCAAAACTTTGTAATTTTAAGCATATTATAACATTTATTTGGTTATAAGATTATGTAATTAAAACCAAAATAAAAAATAAAAAATTTAAAATTACCCTTTTGTTCTTTTTAACAAATTATAGATCATTGTTTCAAGGATTTTATAGAGATGGATAGTCAATAGATATGGATGGATATACATATGACATTTTCCTTGTTCAAGATACTTTTACCTCTTTTTCCGAGTTGATCCAATCCCACCTATTACTGTAAAGATTATATGACATACTATTGAACGTGGAATGTGTCTTATCCTTTCATTAAATTAAATAATGCATTAAAAAAATAAGCTTAGGGGGTGAGGTGTAGGTCGAGTGTAAACCCTAGGAGAAAGACAAGAGTACACCTTGGCCAAAGTTTGGTATCAATGTGGCCAAGTGGCAATATTCCTTAGCCATCATCCAGAAAGTCTCATATATGAAAGGTTTTTTAAGGTAAGTTCATCATTATAAAAAGAAATGTGGTACGTTCCCTTCGATCCAATTTTAAGAAGTGTCAAATCAATTGTCTCAAAATTTTATACGCAAGATTGTTGAACGCCGAGATTGCAAAATAAGCGAAAAAACGGTGTGCAGCCTTTAGTTTGACCAAAGAAATTTTTTGAGGTGTAGGTACTAGTGGTATACAAAATATTTTGTATATTTGAATTATTTAAAAGGTGATTAAAAGTAAAATTTTGTGATAATTATTAGTTTGAATTAGAATTTAAGCTATATATACTTATATTATATAAAGATATTTTACACTAGTAGTTTTTTGTATATGCTATAACAAATTGATTACTGTGGTTATTAGGTAATCAAATTATAATTGTCATGCAATTTACCTCTAATTATTTTATAAATAATATGATTTCCTAATATGGTAAAAATAAAATAACGAACCTACTATCACGTTAAATTACATTGACGGTGTAAAATGGAAAATCTTTACAAACTTCTAAGAGGGTGTAAATGTTGCTACTAAAAGGAATCCTAAATTTGCATTTACATAGAAGCTTAATTAATATCTACTGACGATGTAAATAATTTTTATTTTATTAGGCTATCTTTACCTGCTAATAGGTAATATGTTTTATTCTTGAAAATTATAATTTTTTAAAAGGTCACTTGTAGATATCTTTTCAAAAATCGATAACATAAAAATATATTTACACGATAACATATATAAGTTAAACTCTTTACATTGATGTAGCACAATCGTAGCCCGTAGGGCATACATATTAATCGTAATTCGTATGGCAATGACCATGTTCATTTCACACTTAATCTAGGACTAATTAGCTGCCATACTATATTCTGAGGCATATGTTGTATTATAGTACGGGGTTCATCTAACCTAGTACTTTCGACATGAGTATAAATTTAGTGTAAAAATTTATTAAAATTACAACATATAATAAATTTGAACTCATAACTTTAAAAATATAATCAGTTCAATACTAAAAATCATAAATGCTGAACTCATAAAATTAAAATTTTAAATACACCTTAATTATATTATGCCCTACATGATACCCTTTAGTACTACAAAATATAAAGAAATGTATCAAAATTTCAAAAAGTCAATATCTCTGAGATAAAGTGAATATCGTGCTTAAGAACGTTATTGCTACACTACCTAATCTAAGAATTTTTTGGACGTCACAGTCTTTTTAGACCTGGACCTACTTAATTAACTAGAAACAGTACTTTTAAGGAAAAATATTATTTAAAGAACAGTAAATACTACCATGATAATTAATCAGGATTAAAAATCCTTTAGAAAGTAATTGGATATATATAGTCAAGTGGGATCATTTTACTAGGTTTTTCTCATGAGGCATGATAATGCCCTTCTAGGATTATATATTTATTAAATTATGATGTGGCTGCCTAAAGTCTAAATTGTATCATATATTCATAATCATTTACATACAGATGAAATTTGCGTGGTCTAAATTAGATGCCCGCTTGACCAAAATATGCCTACCAACCTTTTTGCACAAAGCTATTTTTCCTTTTGCTTTTAAAGATTTTATTAAAAACAATTCAATATAATATAACAAAAATATTTGGATAGGTTTCTTTTTCATGAAGAGCTTTACATTGTTGCTTAAACTAGAGCCAATTTTTCTTTAAAACAAAATTGCTCTTAGCATGACGAGGTTAATTAGTTAGACCCATGTCGGTATATTAAAAAATGAGTTTAACTTTATATATTGATAGTTTAAAAAAAACATTTGTTGTAGCAGGTTGATCATTTGTTTTTTACTTCAGATTATTAATTTTACTTATTAAAATCGATTAGTTATAATTACATTTTCGGTGATTTTGATTGTGTCAAAATTATTTTATGTTGCTAGTGGATAGAAGTAATTGAATCTCTTAAAAGTTATAAGTAAATACATGAATGAGAACGTAAGCCTTATCTCCACCAATTTCTCAATTAAGAATGAACATACTCATTAGATCTAGGGACGGCTCTAGAGTGTAACTTCTAACTTTATATTTGTGTTAAATGTTTACTAAATAGGTAGAAAACATTGATCTCATAAAGTTTAAAGTTTAAATGTGTCTCTGATTAATAATATTTTGTTGTTTCTACATATGATCAAGAATAATTAAGATATCTAAATTTAAAAATTATGACGTTGCATTTTGTCAAACAAGATAAGGTTTCTAGAGATACATGCATGAGAGACCTTGAGAAGTAGTGTCAAAAGCTTCAAGTTGTTGTACGATCGATGACTATCCCCTTCTTTCATATCTCTTTTTACCCCCTTGCAAATACTTTATAAATATATTGAATTACTAATTATCGTAACTTATATTATTTTTTCTATAGTTTTAAATAGGTGATTTTTACTTCAAAATTTTGAATATTCTATATTCGAATTCACATAAGAAATGGTCAGCTTGATCTCATACTCTGAACTACGTCGTTTAAAGTGAAACAAGCAGAGTATATAAATTTCGTTCATTTTCTTGTTCAAACTTCAGATCTCTCTTATTTTCCTTTCCTTTTTCATGCGTGGATTGTCATGACCTCTTGAACATGTGGTTGGTCAGAAAGAAGGGGGGGAAAGAGCTTAAATTGGGAACGAAATGATCAAAGCATTTCCTAATCAAGTTCAATTTGCTATTTGCATATTTTTTTTTATCCTCCAAAAAATACTACTGATTTTAATGTCTATGCAAGGACGATGTAAAAAATATTTACACAATCATATCTATATTGGTAGCTTAAAACAACATAGTAAATAACTTGCTATAATTATTAAACTATAATTTATATTGTATTCTTACATTGTTAGTAATATTAGTTAAGTCTTAGAAATTAAAGATGTTATCTGATTGATTTTATACATATTGGTGGAATCGCATTCTTTTGATAACTTCACACGAAATATTTCTTTAGTGCTTTGAGATATGCATATCAAGGCGGAATTGGTAAATTTTAAACTTTTATAACGTTAGCTTAACAATAAATAAAAATTCTTTTTGGACATAAGAATTTTTTTATTTTTTTTAGAAAAATTTTCTTTTTTTTTTCGAAATCAATGTTTGGCCATAAAATTTTTAATTTCACTTAAAGATGAATTTTGAAATTTTTCCAAAATTTGAAAAACTCCAAAAGGCTATTTTTCAAAATTCTCTCGTATCACTCACAAACCTTCAAAAACAACCCAAAATTATATTCATGTCCAGAAATAACTATAATTTTTTCAATTACCATTTTCACTTCAAAAAAATTTCACTTTTTTTTTTTTGGAATTTTACAATTCTTATGTCCAAACGCCCACTATAATATTCTCCAAAATTTTAAAAATTTCTTTTCTGAAATAGAGATATTTGTAAAGACCAGTCTAGGGTTATATGTATTATTGCATAGCATTTCCCATTACCCTATGTCTTACATTATTATAATTAGCTATCATATAGGTGCAAGTGGCTTTAGAGAGGATGAATCTAATTACAAGTTGAAGTATTGTACCATATATAGGTGCAGAAAAGGACGCAAAAAAAAAAATGGTCCCCAAGGACCCCATTTAAAAGCATAAGTACCTCTTTAACATTAATGATGAAGACTAAGTACATTATAGTTATATATATATATATATAGTATTTTTTTCCTTTTGCAAATAGTTCCAACCTTACCTTCGAAAAATTTATTACAAGAAGGGAACGGAATAAAATATAGGGCAATCTGGTGTATAAAATATCTCATGTGCACTTTAGAATTTGGGGAAGGGTTGTACCACGTGAATTATGTAGGCAACCTACGTACTTTAATGTAAGTATTAGTGACGGATTCCACGGCTCGAACCCAAGAGAGCGAGAATTTAGAGTATCTTTTCCGTTCTTTCGGTACTACTAACATGTTTGAAATTGGCAGAAAGTGCCATTTTGGATATATATATATATATATATATATATATATATATATATCATAGAAAAAAGAACCGTATAAGCAATCTACTCCTTTATGTAAAGGAAAAATACAAAAATACTTGACATCTAAACTGAGAGCAAAGCAAATGAAAATTAAGAAAAGTAAAACGGAAAGCAAAATCTAAGGTTACTATTTTAGATCTCCATTGACATCTAAATAATAAAAAAATTGATCTTGTTTGTTTTTTCGCAGATTTACTTTTATTGAGGCCAATCTTTCGGGGATAAACAAACTTAATTTTATT